GGAGTGGGTGGTAAGGGAGGGGGTGGGGGCAGGGGGGAGAAATGACCCAAGCCTTGTATGCACATATGAATAATAAAACAATTAAAAAAAAAAACATGAAAAAACATCTGAATAGTAACAGTTCAGATACTTCAAAAGTATACAATGTAACAGTAAATAAAGTCTCCCTCCTCAAAGGCAATTCCTGTTACTGTCCTCTGATAGGAATCTTCCAAAGATAATCTAAACTAATCCTGTGGCTCTCAAAGTGTGGTCTGTGGACCCCTGTGGATTCCAATACTCTTCTGGGAGATCTGTGAGGCCAACTCTTTTTGTAATAACACTAAGTCATAATTTTCCTTTCATTATGTTCACTCTGTCACCAATGCTGTAACAACTGTATTCTTCAGTGTCCACATTCACAGGTTAAAAAGAAAAAACTTCAAACCACATTTTATGTAAAATGTCCTCAGGGATATTGTCCAATGATAAAATATTTTGGCACAATCAGAAAGATTGGTCTAGAAGACTTTTTTTTTTTGGTGGTACTGGGGTTTGAACGTAGGGCCTTATGCTTGGGGCAGGTGCTCTACTGCTTAAGCCATTAAGCCAGCTTGCCTAGAAGTCCTTTAAGCTCCCTTCCAGTGCTAAAATCTGTTATTCTACCCAATAACATGGCTACCCAATGTACCTTAAACATTCCGTATTCTTAAAGCCTTCACATGGGAATTGTAAAAGGTCTTTCCTGCCATCCTTTATCCAAATTTCATCATCATCGTCTTCACTCAGATATTCACCCCCTCCCGCTATCCCAGTCTCTAGTGAACTTTCTTTAAGTAATCTCTCATTGTTTTATGTGCAAATCACTGTATTTGCGCAGAGCAAAGCAGACCGTCAGTCCTCATGGAAACAGCCTTATGCTTCATGTGTGTTTCCTAGCATATAAGTAAATATTGAATGAGTGATATGGGAAAAATATTTTTAAGTGTCCTTGCTGGGCAGTAAAAATTATTAATTGCATTAAATCTATCTATATACATATTTTTTGTGGGACTAGGGTTTGAACTTGGGGCTTCACATTTGAAAAGCAGGCACTCTACTGCCTGAGCCGTATCTCCAGTCCATTTTGTGCTGGTTATTTTGGAGATGGGGTCTAATGAACTATTTGCCTGGGCTGGCTTTGAACTTTGATCCTCCCAATCTCAGCCTCCTAAGTAGCTAGGATTTCAGGCATGAGCCACCGATGCCCTGCTAAATCTATACTCTTCATACATACCCTTTTCATAATCTGTGTGGCAAAATGGGCCCTGTTCATGAAGCATTTCTGCTCTGCACCAAAGCACAATGGTTATCTCAAGAGAAGGCACTGTGCAATTGTCCGAGTTACAACATGCCCCAGCTGCTCCTCACAGGGCACTGCCACACTGATGTGGAAGAATGGAGTGTTGGACAAATTGTGGTCATTCAGCTTGGGTACTTAACATTTCCTTATAGACGAACAATGTGAGAATCATACCTCAGGGAAAACAGACAGTATTTGTTGTCAGTGGTAAATTGAGCTTTCAAGTGAAAAGTTAAGAATTTGTATATATCATTAAGAGGAGCATGACAGCTTCCTAAAACTTGCCTTTTCTGGCAACATTTGGTGATATTAACCTAAATGACTTTTAAAAATAGATATTGTATAATAAACTGTACCAACTTTTGGAAAAGTGGTATAACTTAGGAACCAATAGTTTCCAGATGACCAAAATGGAGCAAGAGATATTAAAGTGACAGAGTACAAAATGCCTTTTTTTGTGTGTGTGTGTGTGTCTAGTTTTCAGACAGGGTCTCTTTTCCAACTATATACCTGTGTGAGCCCAGATTTTCTTCATATACTTCAGCCAAAATAACATATTGCAATGGATTGAATGCAAAAACAGATGTAAAAATCTAGCTTTTATAAGTCAGATATTAAAGAGAATTACAAAAGTGTAAGCAAGTACCGTTCTTTCTGATAATAAAAAAAAAATCTCAAGATATGATAGGTTGGGCACTGTGGTACCCACATGTAATTGCAGTTAGTTGGACAGCTGAGATCAGGAGGATTGTGGTTAGAAGCCAACCTCGGGACAAAGTAAGATCCCATCTCAGCAAACAAGCTGGACATGATGGGACATGCCTGTACCAGGTACATGCCAGCTACACAGGAGACTACAGGGTAGACAATCATGGTCTGAGGCCCGCCAAAGCAAAAACGTGAGACTATCCAAAAAACAACTAAAGCAAAAAGGGCTCGGGGTGTGGCTCAAGTGATAGAGCTCCTGTCTAGCAAGTGTGACACCTTGAATTCAAACCCTAGTACCATGAAAAAGAGAAAGAAAAGTGAAGGATTTAATAATATTGTTTTAGGTGAATTAATTAAACTTTATAAATTTTTTGGTTTTAATTTCTAATATGGCAAATATTGACAGATAAAATTCTAGAAGAAAAATTTGTAGGTTATCAATCATTTTTACAAGTATAAACAAATGCTGAGACCAAAAAGTGTGAAACCATTGGCCTAAGCACAGATAAGCTTGTGCATATCGTTACTCTGGCGGTGGCTAGGTTTGCCACTCTGAAGCTCCCAGGATGCCCTGCTCCCACCACTCCTGCAGTCCCTGCCCAGCTACAGTGCTCTTCCTTTGAAGACCCAGCATCCCTCACACCTACACAACCCAGCCTACATACTGCTATTTCCTGTCAGGGGTTAACCTGTCTGTGCATAACCAGAGGGTGGTTTGGTACAGAACCTCTGTCTCTATCTGGCTCTGAAAACAGTTTCTACATTGTCCACACAGAGCAAGCTAGCATTAAGTTTGGGAAGGTGGCTTTCAAGACTCTTTCTAAACTTCTTGTTGCCAGGCTCTGGTTCAGACGGTGAGAGCATGCTTTATGCACTGTACTCTTCTTCCTCTACCTCTAATTCAGGTTGGAGTTGTGTTGCCTGTGGCACACTAGCTTCATACTTTTCAGGCGATATACTACTGGATACTTTAATGATACTTTAATATACTACTGGATACTTTAATGGGAAGAGATTCATCAGGTATAGTTGGCTTACTGCCATGCTGATGCCAGGTCTGAAAGACTCACCTGCTCTGGACTCATATACAGTTTGGTCCCTACTTGTCCTGTGTGTGTGGCATAAGCTGGCATTGGAGTCAGAACCGTTTGTTCTTCCTCATCTTGGTCCATTGCAGTAACTAATCCAAAGTCTCCAACCTTGACTACGTCATCCATTGTAAAAAATATGTTGGAAGGCTGGAAAAAATAAAACAAACAAGACTAGAGTGAGTGTTTATAGACATGAGAGAGAAAGTGAAGGGAACAAATGATTTCAGAAAAGAAATACAGGAAACTAGGTATTCTCAAGAATATTTCTCTTTAGGGTGGGGGCGGGGGGAGAAATGACTCAAGCCTTGTATGCACATATGAATTAAAAAAAAAGAATATTTCTCTTTAAAATGGGCTAATATGAAAACAAAAGTGATTTTTCTATGTCAGACAAGTAATGTGGGTAAAGAAAAGGGAAGGGTAGCAAAGAGAGCTGGACTTATTGAGCATTTACTTAAATGCTTAAGAGATCCATATTCCCTAGGGTCCAGCACACTTAATCCTCAGTCTTATTATTCTATATACTCTCTCTAGGCAATCTTCTCTATATTTGTGACTTAAGCCATAATAACTATAAAGGTCATTACAACAGCAAATGTATAATGGCACTTGTAATGTGCCAGCAGTTCATTACTATTAACTCATGTAATACAATACTCTGAGATGAGTCCTATTAGTTTCCCCCATTTTACAGATGTAGAAACTGAGGCCCAGAAGTTAAACAAATTGCCCAAGGTTACCCAGCTAACAAGTAGTAGAGCAGGGATTCAAATCCAGGCAGTTTTGTTTTATTAGGAAAGAACCTTTTGTTTTACTGTCATGTCCAGCATTTAGTACAGGTAATTACTGTCTGATGATGAGTGATAAAGACCAATCTTTTGGTTTGTGTCTGAGAGGGGAATCAGAACACTTAACTATTACTCTATGCTGCCCCTTCTAAAACCACGTGCTCTCTTGACTATATCTACAACCCTGCCTCTGTCTGAGTTCCAAACCTTTCCATGAAAACTACTTATAATAGGATACATCTCATCAAATGTCTCATGGGCTCCTCAAACTTGAAAGTGCCTTAAGAAACACACCATCTTCCCCTCACAGTCTACTCTATCTTGTAAGTCACATAACATAGACATTAAAATAAGGAACAAAGAAGCCATTTGTTCATGAAATTGAATCCCATTATGCTTCAATACTGCCAGAAAATAACATTTTATTCTTAATTTCTAAAATACTATTTTATAATTTTGACTTCGAAGCAATGAAGCTTTTGTGAATTAAAAACTATGGTAATAATTTATAGCTCTCCCACAAATCACCATGTATCAGAAATAATAATAGACTTGGCTGGTTTAACCTTTGCTCCCTATACCCCTCTTCTGATGAAGGTTACTTACTGAACCCTTAACAGACAGCTTTTTGGTTCTCTAGCATTTATCCCACAGTGCTTCTACCAGAAATATCTTGACTTTGCTTACCCTTCTTCCTAAGTGTATAGCAACTCAGCTGGTGCCTAAACCAATCCATAGAATCCTATTCCTTTGTTTAAGTGAATAAGATTCCTATTCACTTGTTTAAGGATGGGTCTGTATCCTTGATTTACTGAGTAGAACAAGATCCAGGACTTTTGGCCGATAGTCTTCCTCCTCTCTTCTCATCCAAAAGTTCCAAAAGACTTAAAAGAAAAACATGCAGTCCTAAGAATTCCTGACAATCATCCTGAGACTATGAGGGGAGAGGCTGCCTGAAAATAGAAATAAGAATGGGAGGACAGACTAGGTTCTGACCAAATCATTTGCTCTTACATAAAGCTTTACCTGAATCCTCAAGAGTTTAGTAACACAGGCTAACAAAGTTCCTTCTGGTTAAATCAGTAAAAATGTTTTTGGTTGCAAATAAACAAGCAATCAAAAATTCAATATGAAATGATATGAACATCTAGAATATGTCGATGATTGTACTGAGGCTATAATGAACGAACAAAACAGACATGGTTCATGCCACCACCATGAAAAACAGAGGATAAATAACCCAGGTGTGAAGAAAATGATGAAGGAGAAATATAGGTTCTATGAGAACACTGTGTATTTGAGGAAATAAGAAAAGCCCAAAGAATAAAAGACTAGAAGAAAGGCTGGAGAGGCAGGAACCAGAGGTGCTGAAGGCAAAAATGTGACCAAAATACAAGATGGGAGAGATCCTAGAAGGTTTAACATTGAGCTCAAAGATTTAGGTTAGAGTATAGCAAAAATGTATAGGCTTTTTACAAAGAAAAAGAAAAAGAAAGTAAGAAAGAAGGAAAGGGAGAAAGAAAGACTGGTTCTGAATTTCTGGGCTAACAGTATGGCTCAAGTGGTGGAATGCCTGCCCTAATATTACCTGCCCCACCCCCCGCCACCGGGGCCACACACATACCCAAATGAAAATGTATAGGTTTTTCTTCTGGGGAAAAAATATTGGTGGTATTTTTTTCAGCATACTAGAAATCTTTAAAACGAATTGTTTTGAAAAGAATAAAACCTTTTCGATTTCAAGAAAAACTAAAGAGGAAATTACCTTTCTTCTAGGATTTACTCTGTGTGTATACAAATACAGAAAAATCTTTAGACAACATTGAAGAATTAAGCAAATATTCGTCAACATCTAGTTTACATTATAAAATCAGTTGAATATTCAGTATTAGTGAAAACAAAATGATTTTGTCTTTCAGCTTAGCATGTATGTGCGCATGTGTATGGCAAGTGTCCAAGGACAGTATGTACATTAGCTAGTTGCTTTCCATCAAATGAGGAATGTTTCTCATATTTAAACCTTAACAGGTAGTAGTATCTCAAGTTAAAGGTGTCTATCTGCTCTTTTGTAAGTTGTTTTTTCTACTCCAACCAAAATAATTCATCTCTGAAGTTTTCATTTAGTGCAGAACAATTCCTGGCAACCAGTTTGCAACCACATCAAAACCACTGAAGCATAGTGATTCTACAACTAAGTAACTGTTATACTGGAAAATAGTTATTATTTCTAATTCTTCCTCCTTCTATCCCCCCAAATTCTTAAAATACACTCATAATTTAAAAACCTGGACTGAAGATTAGCTCAAGCGATAGAGGGACTGCTTTGCAAGCACAAAGCCCTGAGTTCAAACCCAGTCCAAAAAACAAACAAACAAAACCCCCCAAAGAACTTAAAAACCTACAGCTGATTTTAGAAAATAACTTTTGTCCAAATATCTACTTTGGTATATAAAACCAATTTTGTCTAAAGTAAAGTTAACAATATTAATTATGGTGGCACATGCCTATAAACCCAGATACTGGGAAGGCAGAGATATGAGGTTCATTGGAGAGCTTTCTGAAAAACAAACTAAAAGGCAAAAGGGCTGGGGTCATGGCTCAAATGGTAGAGCTCCTGAATAATGTGAGACTCTGAGCTCAATCCCTAGTATGACTAAAAAACAAAACAAAACAAACAAAAACTAAAAATAGTCAAAAAGAAATCCAAATTTGTTGAGAATTTAAGTTACTCACATCAGAAAAAATATTAAAACACTCACTACACATCAACTGACAACTGCTATAAGCATATGGAATATGGCAGAAATTAGTTAGATAAAATTAGTTACGTTAGCTAAAGTTCCATACATTTATTTTCAGGAACACATCCTATGGAAATGCATGTGTTTCAGTAAGACTTTTATACAAATTAGATCCTGTATTAGTACACTGATCAATACTGTATACATTGAAATTAGATCCTAAGGCCTTAGAGCTATAATTACCTGGTTAACCGTTTGCTACCTTTTTCCATCCACTTTCTCCCCCAAAGCACAAACAGTTCAGAACTGGGTGCAAAACGCATGTCTATCTGCTGCCCCAGCTCAGAGATTGCTAGTGAAAAGAACACATCTCTCCTTCCACTGGGGTCTCTTTTACCACCACCTGTAGGGATCCAGGGATATTTGTGTCAGGGTTATTCAATACTATATAAAGAACATGGTTCAACTGGTTGTGGTGGATTTTACATAGCCTTTTTTTCATTTCTCCATCAGGACTATTGGGAACATCTTTTACAGTGAAATGAACACAAACACATTATAGAGGAGAATGCATTGTTTGCCTGAAGCTTTCGAATGTGAAACTTCTTACTGCAGGCCCCTTCAAACTACCTTCTCAGACCTTTGCTTTTGGATGCCTTTACTCTCCTCTGCACTGCTCTGAACCCCTGAACATCAGAGGGAAACCTCTGCATGATATTCCACAGCTACAGACCTTGAGGTCCCTGTGCATGAGTCCTTTACTGTGCAGAAACTCCACGGCCTCTGCAATCTGCAGGAAGATGTGCAGACACACGCTCCTCTCTCTCTCCTCAATGGTACACCGTCGATTCATCCAGTCTTTGAGGTTTTCCTTTCTGCACAGTTGCATCTGAATGTACAGATACACCTTTGGTGAGCTGGGCTGGAGTTTCTCCGTAGTGTTCTTAGTGAGATCTAAACTTAAAGTGGTTGGTCTTGGAGGAGAAAGGGACAATGTAGCTTCAGAAGAAGATTTGCTGCTGGAATACTTGAAATCAGTTAGTTTATTAGTATAATGGTTGCCAATGTGTAGCTGCTTAGTTTTGGGCTCTTCCTTACTGGATGCGTTATCACAACCAGAATCTTCAAACACTATGGAAGAGGAAGTTCTCTCCCTTGACCCTACGTAGGGAGAAGCTTCAGCAGGGCAAAGTTCAAAGGAGTGCCCTTCATCATTGCCATCCATAGTACCATCTTCCACATCACAGTCTGTTAGGCAACTGTCCTGGAGGTTGTGTGCTGCATCCACTGACCCACTGCCATTCCCATGGGCTATTCCTGAGAGTTCCAGTGGAGAGAACTGGCTCTCGGATGAACTCGTCTGGCCACAGGAAATCCCCACTGAAAAAGACCTGCTTCTTTGAGGTGAAGGAGCTATGATTTCAATATGTTCCTTGGTAGAGAAAGGATCCATTCTGCGAATTTTAACAGATGGTGCATCCATTGGACTAGGAGAGCTGAGTGGCCAGTCTGTGCTAAAAGTGGGAGAAATATAAATGGGTGGAAGTAACTATGTGATGATTAAGTTATCTTTGCCTAAAAAAAGCTTCAACTATTATAAAGCCACTTACCAAATGACAGACAAAATGATATATAGACTAAATATAACATGTTATATGAGATAAAGAACATCTTTTTCATTTCCTCTTGAAATTTTAATTTATGCTTTGAAATAGTTATTTGGGACTGTCATACTCAATTCTGTAACCCTTGTGCAAATCATAGTGGCTTACTGGGACTTGAGACAAGGGGTCATTTCACCTGGTCCTTGAGCCTACTATAAGCATCATTGTAACAGGGTAACTGAGGTGGATCTACTGCTGTGCAAAGTTTTGATCCAGGTGTTTTTAAAAGGGCCTTCCTTCCTATAGTGCACAATGGTTAACATGGGGAATATATTCATGATACCTAAGATTACATATTTTTAACTGAATATAGTTTAAAACTATTTAAAAGGGAATTGTAAGTTGATGTTAAGAGAAAACTTTATTAAAAACTTCAAAAAGACAAAATAGAAGTAGACAACATATTGTCTTGTATTGAGAAAAAACACTGTGAATCCCTCAAGCATTATTCATAGAGCACTACTACTAATTAAAAAAAAAGTTTTCAAAAACTAAATCAAATCTCACTTCACAAATGGCTAGAGAAATTTCCAAAACATGATGATATAGAACTCTGCTATTCTTTCTCTTAAAATAGAAAATAGAGAGTAGAAATGATACTGTGTTCATAGAAGCAAAAACCAGCCTAAAAGGAATCTATATCAAACTAAATTACCTTTCGTCTTTCAGCCAAATTTCATCCATCTGTTCTTGCCACTTCTCTGGTGGTGCTTCCAGCCAGGCATTGAAATACCTCACAATACCTGGGTGTTCCAGCTTGGCTAAGGCTTTAACTTCTCGCATTACCTTCTCCCGAGCCAATTCACTGAAAGACAGAAAGCAGAAGATGCTTAAGGTTGTCTATATCTGAGGTATTTACGTCCAATAGTGAAAACACAAAAGGTTATTAATACACTGGCGGTCTCTCCTCAAATCTAAAATTAGGAACAGATGAGCTAGCCCTGGGTATAATTCTAAAAAAAAAAAAATCACATAGCAAATCCTAAAATTAAAAAAAACCCATGCATTTTTAATGTTTTTTTCCCTTCTGGAAATAAGTGTTACAAAGAAAGCTTTCTTGCCTGACTAAAAAAATCAATCTTCACAGACCCTTATGTGTTCAGAAAAGAGAGCTTAGCATTCCAGCCCTGGATGACAGAAACAGACCAACCCAAAAGGGTACATACATATTACAACTCAAAACACTTGTACAAGTGCATTGATTGTAGACGCTTCAATTACTCAGTATCACAGGCAATGAAGCTGAACTAGAAAAGCATCTGGTTGGCCCTCAGCCCTGCTGGGAGGTTTTCAGATATCTTTAAGGTCATTCATGTTGGTTTCAGATCTATATGGCCTTCCCAGCAAAGCTAGCTTTGTTTGATAAATATTTAAGTAGAGAGACATATGCAAGTGTATGCACTGATGGAGTAAGTAGAAAAATGCACACAACCATATGAACATGTTTGCATATTAAACACAGAAATTTATTCACATACATATGTATCCTTAACTATCCACCTGGGTGTCTCACCACACTCAGTAGAATATAAGTCACATACGTAGTATTTGATACAAGTATCTACATACACAAATACAAACACATATACATTTCTAAAAAATAGACATACCTTGTAAAGTATGTCAGTTTATAATAAATATATATAAATACTCTCCCAAAAATACATTAACAAACAAACATGGAAAAAGAAAACATCTGGATTTTATCTTCTGCTTTGACAGCTTTTCTGATGTCTCTAGTCTAGGGAGCCCATCATTACTTTAAACAACATAAATAGATACAATTTATATACTCTTTCATTCCCAGGAAAATGTCAGCTACTCCAAATTTTCCCTTCCATGCTTTGTTACTGTTAATGTCCCCAACTCTCCCAATCCAAGGATCCTGGAATTTTAAAATTCTCTCACTTCTAGATTCCCATAGCCAATGACCAAATCCCATCATCCCCTCTTTTTCAAATCCTTATGCTCATTCTTTATTTTAGGACTGAACTGTTGCAAAGCAATCTACTAACATCCCGACCCTTCTCCTTTCCTTGGATCAGCCATTATGTTGCTGCAGAGTCATCGCCACTTTGATCACATAACTATTCTACTCAAAGTAGGATAAAATCTAAACTCCTTTGCCTGGCACATAAGATGCTGTAGCCAATCCTATTCACCCTCTCTTCTATACTCACCTATTCTCACTCTTTGCCCCACTCATTCCAGAACGTTCCCCATTCTTAACCACCTACTGTTAATAGAGAGCCTTTTCTCAGACTATCCTCCCCTGAATGGCTGTCTCCAGAACCCAATGTTAACACCTCCATAAAGCTTGCCTTCCTTCACTGCTTCTCAGCTTCATCTGCTCCTTTATGAGAAGCTGTTTACTAAGACAAGACACAGCTCACAATCTTTCTTGTAGTATAATTTATTTGAGCACCAAAAAGTTATAGGCTTCTGCAGGGAAGAAATCTTGCTTAATTTTAATATCCTATGTGGTATATGGCATATATGAATACTTACTCAAGTGTTCACGAAAAGAAAAGAAGTAGTCACATAGTACTCAAGCCATCAAATTCCTATGCCTCTATCAGTTTAAGAAAATGCATCTACTACATATGAGGACAGCACAGCAGCAAAGAATTAACAAGAACCTTTTACAGAGACTGTAAGGAAAGTATTACTGAAAGCCAATCATCTTATTCCTCACACTGTTAGGAGCCAGAAATGTGGTCAAATTTTATATAAAAGATGAACACTACAAAGTTTTCTTAAAATTACAAACCAAGTTAGAAATCAAACTGTTTAACAATAAGAAACATTTAAAGAAAATATGGCACATGTGCTAAATGAACTATTAACAAAGCCATTCTTTATTACTGTTTTTTGAGATAGGGTCTCACTATGCAACCCAGGCTGGTCTTTAACTTGAGATCTTCCTGTTTTAGCACCCATGTGCTGGGATTACAGGCATGCACCACCATACCCAGCTAATAAGCCTTACTTTTAATGCATTTTGGTATGCAAATACAATTCTCAATAACATAAAAAACTCTGAGGATATAATGAAAGAAGCAACAGACAAAACTGTACAGTGTAGTATTAATTATTTATGACTGGAAAAAAATCAAAAGACAATACTCTAAAGTATTAATACTGTTTATTACTAGGTAGAAAGATTATAATACCATTAGTTTTTTTAGGGGGTGAGGGTATTGGGGTTTGAACTCAGGACCTCAGTCTTGCTAGGCAGGCACTCTACCACTTGAGCCATTCTGCTAGTTCTTTTTTTGTGTTGGGTGTTTTTGAGATAGAGTCTCACTTTTTTTTTCCAGCCTGGATTGGCCTCAAATGTCAATCCTTCTGATCCCTGCCTCCTGAGTAGCTAGGATGACAGGCAATGGTGCCTGACTTGTTTTTGTTTTTAAGACAGGGTCTTATTATGTGGCCAAAGCTGGTCTTAAACTTGCTATATAAGCCAGGCTGGTCTCAAATTTCTGCTTCTCCTGCCTTAGCTTCCTCAGTGCTGGAATTACAAGCATGTACCATCACTCCTGTCATAGCTTCTGTTTTAATACTTTATTTACTAATGATACAGTTTGGACTGGAATGTCATTAGGAGGGTGCCCTTGAAAGGGCTATGGGGGTCCTGACATTTTCCTCTTTCTCACTTTTTGGTGTCCCTGTCATGAAATGAATGGTTTGCTCTACCATATGCTCCCTGCCACAATGTGTTGCCTTCCTGTGGGCCCAAAAGCAATGAGGCCATTTGACCATGGACTGAAATCTCTGAAATTGTAAGCCAACATAAACCAGCTCTCTTCATAAGTTGATTAGCTCAAGTATTTTGTTACAGTAATGGAAAAGCCAACAAATACACTATAATAAACAGAAGTCATTTTTAAATGCTGTGATTTATTAAAGTCTATAGTTTTTATACATTCTAATAGGAAACTCTTCAGTTGTTAAGAAGCAAAAATGAGACCTTAATTTAAAGCAAATAGAAAACAATCTATCTAGATCACAACTTTTAGACAACTTGTTACTTGGTAGTATTTAGAACCTAAGATTTGGAAGGTCAGATTTCAATGACTAAGGAATATAATAACAAGGACATTTTGTCTATGATAGATCATATAGTGCTAATTGCAAATATACTAAAAGAACCATCCATTACCGATTGGGTAGACGGATCCTCTTGATAGCATAATTGCAGTCATCTACTTTGTTTCTAGCTTCAAAGACAACTCCAAAACCACCACGACCCATGCACTGGATTGGTTCAAAATCTGTTAGATATCTTAAAAAAAATAGGTGAAAAATTTAAAGATTTTAAAAAGTTTTAAATAGCACAGCAGCAAGGAAAAAATTGGCTCAATCTTATCATTCAAAAAGTATATAAAATGAGTAAACTGTCAGAACTTATTCAACAAAGAGTTTTACTAATGATATTCTTAGCTTTTCTCTTCATATATATGAAGCAAATACATTTTTATAAATTTCATAGGGAAAAAGGGATATATATTAAAAAGTTTTGTTTTATTGGAAATCACTTGTAATCACTTGTTCTTATAGCAATTGTACTATTCATTTTGTCCTATTCAATACTTTCCATAATCTACCAAAATATCACATTCTCAATTCTTTAATCTTTTATTTTCTATGGCATTTTGTACTCAGTTAAAAATGTATTTTAACTGTATTTCACTGCATATATATATATGCAACATATATATGTATGTATATATGTATATGTATATATATATGTGTATATATGTATATGTGTATATATATATGCATATATATATAATTTTTTTGGTGGTACTGGGGTTTGAACTCAGGGCCTCATGCTTGCTAGGCAGACACTCTTACCACTTGAGCCACTCTACCAGCTCTCATTGCTTATAAATTTTATAGAAGGAAATATAGTCAATCCTACTATATTTAAGCCAGAAATCTTTTTATTTTTGGTGGTACTGAGGTTCTGGGCTTTGAACTCAGGACCTTATGCTTGCTAGGCAGGCACTCTGCCAGCCCTTTTTTGTGTTGGGTATCTTCAAGATATTGGGACAGGGTCTCATGAGCTTTTTGCCTGTGTTGGCCTTCAACCATCATCCTCCTGATCTCTGCCTCGTGAGTAGCTAGGATTACAGGATTAAGCCACCAGTGCCAGGCAAGCCAGAAATCACTCTAGGAATTACCAGGATTATCTTCCAAGTCAGTATGCTTACTACTGAGGGTATTCAGACAGAAGCTAACTCACCACCTGTCACTTACAGCTGGACCTCCACATCGCAGCCTGTTTCTCCTGTTAGTTCCTGATTTCACATACCTGCACTGTAGATACCAGTCAGTTTGCACCATGCTCTCTCACAATGTCAGGGCTTTTGCTGGTGTGGCATTCATTGTTCTTTGTACTGAATGAAACCATATTCTTCCTTCATTCTGCAGCTCTCACCACCTTAAATTTTCCTAGACCCATGTCTTAATGTTTCCATGGCACTGTACACATATTGCTTTGAACTATTTAGATTTAGTCTCAGAATTTTGCAGTGATTTATATGCAACTCACTTTACTCAGCACCTCTGTACTTTGGGGAACATGAATGCAGGAAAGCATTCTTGTTTCTCTTTATACTTTCAGAACCTGGATATTACATGGCAAATTGAAAATGTCACAAATGCTTATTGAATAACTGTGTGAATTAATAAGTGAATGCATGTACACAATGTTGTGGAAATTATTCCAGCCACAAGGGGGAGAGGTGAATTAGATGCTCTTCGGTATGTCCCTTATGAAGGTAAGTTTATTACTTTATGACTTGTACATCATATTAATTTAGTAGTTGCCTCAGCTGGTTAGAGAACAGAGTTAAAGAGGAGACAACCCTCCATGGGCCAATTACCTTCACAGAGAATGAAGAGTAATAATCTGTATTCCTAAAAATAGCTAGTCAAAGTTCCTCAGTACAAATTCATCTCCCTAAATGCAAAAGCTCACAAAGTTCATGTCCTACTCCTGGAGGGCTAATTGTATTATCTTCCTGTATTACATCTTCTAAAAAGAATGACATCTTATACACGATTATAGACCTATAAATATAAGCATCATTTTAGCTAAGGTCTCTGATGATAAATGACAAACCTGGGATCTGAATTCATGACTGAACCCATAGTTCTTATTCTTAATAGTGCCTAGGATATACTAAGCACAAATAAACATTAAATATTAATATAGAAATCCTCTATTTAAAATTGCATATCAAATAAAGTTAAAGAAAAATGGATTTAAGCCTAGTCCAATTTTAGAGTACAGTATTCTAATGCTCTTGACATCAGTCTTATAATGCTTGTGGTACTGCAGCATGAGCTCAGGGCCTCACACATGCTAGGCAGGCACTCTACCATTTGAGCCACTCCACCAGCCCTTGCAATGCATTTTTATTCACAATGCCATGCACCCCTCTCCATCTCTGTCTACTCTTAAAATTAAAAATCTAATTCAAATGTGACCTCATATTTGATGTCCTCTTAAATTTTAAATTACCACACCCATTCACTAGTTCATGGCTTTTTTTCCTTAATTGTTTGTTTTACCTCATATTTTATTTCCCCATAGACTTCAAGCTTCTCTAGAATAGTTCTACTCTTCTTATTTCTCCCAAAGCCTAAAATATTGCTCTGCATAGCACTGCTCAGAGTAAATGCTGAATGAACAATGACTGGCATCAGTGATGGATTATTTCAGGAAAGTTGGTGGGTTCCTTGTTCTTTTCCTTTCTCTGCCTGCTGCCGATGACAGCCAACATTTTCATTAACAAGGATATAAATGTAGCCTTTATCATGTGTTTGTAGTCTAATAAATTTTGCTTTGCTTGTGAAATTCACTGGTTTTACCATCCTCAATTGGCAAAGAATCCTGACTAATACATACATCTATCTAATACTTTCAATCTTTTCTGTCATAAAACCATTACCCTAGAGACCTAGTAGCAAAGTTCCTTATCACTAAAGTGAGAAGAAAAACACTAAACAAAGGGAAAAGTAGCTATCATACATGTAATATGAAAAATAAACCATAGACCATCTCCTATACCACATGGCATCAAAGATAGTTTATACCTTTGAGATACTGCAACAGCTTCTTCACTTTTACTTTTAAATAACTTTAACTACCTACTTTTAGCTAACCCATCTTTCTCTTTTCTTTTTAAAAATTACATGTTCTATTGGTGTTTCTCATTCATCTATCTACTTCCTATTCCAGACAGAATAAGGGATAAAATAAAGAACTGAGTATTAAGAAATGTATGGAAGGGCTGGGGTGCGGCTCAAGTGGCAGAGTGCCTGCCAAGCACATACAGGCCCTGAGCTGAGGTACCAGTACCAATAAATACAACAATAAAACCGTGTAGATATTTACATCACAGTCTAGTGAACACAATTATTTGGTACTGTTAAGGCCAATTCCAGTACTTGGTGAACACTAAGTAGCCAAGTTATCTGAGTAAGAATTTAATTTGATAGTTGAAATTCCAGCCAATACAGCACTGTGTTTTTATCCTTCTTTGGGTACAGACCACTTTTAAGTTACTAAAGGTTAGGTCTATTTTATTTACCTAGCTATTCATACACTGACAAATCAGTTAAACAAGATATTAGTTTAAAGGTCACTTCTTTGATTCAAATGGTTGCCTTCAGAAGCTATAAGAGCATCAATATTTCGTAAGACTCTTACCGTGATACATATCCAGAGTTTTTGAGGTCATTCCAGCTACTGTCATTGGCTTCTCCACTTACAGAATCATATTTATTTTCAGTTTGACACTGAGTTTCAGATTCCTTCCTTTGCTAATAAGGTAGAAAACAAAATCACTACCAGTACAAAGTTGAACTAAAGTTAGTTAATAATCTTTGGTTATCAAATAACATTGAAAAAGATAGCTTGGAGAAAAATAAAAAAGCATTATAAAAAAGAAAATATGGCAATTCCCTTTACTAGATTTAAGAAAAAAATTTATATTGCCACTGCTATCCCTTTAGTTGTTGAGGAGATTTTGTTTCTTTATATAGCCTAACACATAATTAAGATACAAAGAGAAAGACAGTACACCTGTAAGTATGAGTGCAGACTTCCAGGCACGATTAGAGTTACTTCTTTCCTAACTACTTTGTAGATGGTTTTAAAATGCCTCCAGCCATAGGAAATTGATTTTGGCAATGTATCTTCACCAATATCTCTTACATGATCTTCCAGAGGTTGTTAATTATTACGGTCAAAGTCAGGGGCTATTGTAGTTCATCTATTGAATAATTGCTTCTTTTAGTAAATCTTTGCTGAGTTCTGATTATGCGTCAGGCCCTGTGTAAGGGACTGGGAAAATGGAGGTAAACATGTAGATTGGCCCCTGTCCTTAAGAATGTAGTTTAGAGGCAGAGACAGAAATTAGACATTACCTATTAAATACTTTAGAAAGGAGAAACCAGAGTGTTCTCAGACATAGGCAGAGAACTAACACAGAATAAGGAGGTTAAGAAAAACTTCTCAGGGACATGATAACTAATTTTAGACTTAGAGATATGAAGAGTTAATCATGTGAGAGGGAAGGGAGATGAGTTGAGGAACAAACAAGGTTCAGAGACAAGGTCAGAGGATGAGCACTATTGGGCTAGGGAAAGCATGATTTCAGGGGGCGCTGAAAGAAGTTCAGCCTGGTGGCTGTGAGCTGTGGAGAGAGGAGGAAGGGATCAGAGTATGGTGAGAGATGAGTGAAAGAACAGGCAGGGTTGAATCATTCAGAACCTTGCATGTTTTAAGAAGTTTGGACTTTATCCTAACAATAATGAGGAGTCAGTTATTAGAGTTTTTAAAGCCAGGAAGTGCAGCAAGAATAGCTTGCAGACAGGGAGAAGACAGACTGAGGGTACAGAGTCCAGTTAGAGGCTATTTCAGAGTTCAGAAGAGGTGTGTTGATGTTTGTACCAAGGAAGCAGAAATCAAGATATGGAGAAGATAATGAATTTAAAGATATTTAGGAGGAAACCATTAACAGAATTGGTGACTAATGAGAGAGAAAAGAATGACTTTGATTCTGGTGACACAGTATGGCAATATACTTCATTTGAGAGAAAAATGCAATGGAACACTGGGGGATGGGAATGGGGGCGGAAATGAGCACAGTCTGAGACATGGCTCATTTTGAGCTATTTGTGTAGCTCCTACTAGATAGTTGGTCCAGAAAGAAGGGAGCCTGTTTATAAGATAACTGGAGCTGGGAAAGTAGAGGAGTCTATTTTAGGAGGTTTTGTGAAATGAACAGAGAAGAGTGAGCCCTGAGGTATGCTGATATGACCAGGTAAATGTAAGGAAGATGAAGTCCTGAGGTATCTACAAAGCACCCAAGAAGGAGACCAGGAAAGCATGGTGCCATGGAAATTAGTTAGGAAATGTCAAAGAAAAGTGTTCAAAGTGTCAAATATGGAGAGACTCTGTTAGAAAAGGACTGGAAAATATCCACATGTGAAGAGAAGATCACCTACAACTTTGGCAAGAGCAGCTTCCATGGAATGGTAGAGATGGAAGCCAGACACAATAGGTTGAGGAATGAATGGAGGTGAGGAAGTGGAAATGAGAGTACAGCCATGTACCACATATCAACATTTCAGTCATCAATAGACCTCAAATATAACAGTAGTCCTGTTATAATGAATCTCAAAAATTCCTATTGCCTAGTGTTTTCACTGTGCCTTTTCTAGGTTTAGACACACCAGTATTTATAAGTGTCTGCATTTCTAAGTACAGTAACATGCTATACAGTTTTTGTAACTGTATAGAAGCAAAAGGCTATATCATATAGTGGAAGCACACTCTGACACTTGCACAGTGACAGAAATTGCCTAACAATATATTTCTCAGAGTGCATCCTTGCTGTTATGTGACACATAACCATATAAGTGGCAATGATTTTGGAGTAAGATTTAAGTACATTTACTCTCTCCCCCTCCAATAATATTGTTTTCTATATTCTAAACATTTTAAATACATTAGATTCTAAAAAAAAATGTCTTACTCTGTGAGGATGAGGATGGAAAAGTCTGCGCACAATAAAAGTTGTTGCTATGATACAAAATAAAATTGTCCCAACTATTTCCTTCCACCAGTGTAACAGAAGAACAGGATCCTTTTTGCGGATATTTTTGCTGTAATTTGGGTTGTCGAGGAATCTGACTGTGATTTGTGTACTCCGTTTGTTCCTTTCTCTCTTGTAGTATGGTAAATAATAACCATTATCTTAAAAAAATAAACATTACAAGGGTTTTTTATTTTAAGGTAAACCAAACAGGCCCATCTTTAATTGTTAAAAATGATTTATTTTCCTATGACATAACAATAATTCCTTTTTAAAAGTTTCATTTCTTTAACTTTTTTGGTGGTACTAGAATTTGATCTCAGGGCTTCACACTTGCAAAGCAGGCACCTGCAAAGACTGCTTGAGTCACACCTTCAGTCCATTTTGTTGTAGTTATTTTGGAGATGGGGGTCTCATGAACTATTTTTCTGGGCTGGCCTTGAACCTCCATCCTCCCAGTCTCAGCCTCCAAGGTAGCTAGGATTACAGACATGAACCAACACCTCCTGGCTTCATGGAAGAGGTTTTTGGTTTCTTTGTTTTGTTTTTTTTTTAGTGGTATTGGGGGTTGAACTCAGGAGTTCATGTTTGCTAAACAGGTACTCTACCACTTGAGCCACTCTGCTACCTACCCCCCCATTTCTTTACTTTTTAAAATCTCTTTTCTTCAACACATTTGAAACATTTTCCTTTGTCTTACTTTTTCTCTTTATAACATAAGTATTTTAAAATTTCTTTATATTAAGTAATAAGACCAGAAAATAATTTGAGTCACCCAACTTATTACCTCATTAATAATGAATTCAATCTTGTGTGTGTGT